CCATCAGTTAACATCTGGAGAACACAAAAGCTGAAACAAATCCATCAGTAAGATGTTTTTTTTAACTCAAATAATCCATAATAACGCTTCCTCCAGTGAAAAAGTGTTCTGGTCTGAATCAGGAGGGAAATCTGCACAGATCAAGCACTGTACTGTTACAAGCCAAAACATCTCTAAACAAATATGTGACTGGATTTTGATGTGAGAGACAACAGCAGATGCACTTTTTCACTGGAGGAAGCGTTATTATGGATTATGGACTCTATGGTATTTTAGTTAAAAACATCTGAATGCTGGATTTGTTTCAGCTTTTGTCTTCTCCAGATGTTAACTGATGGACTGGAGTGCTGTGGATTACTTGTGATGTTTTTATCAGCTGTTTGGACTCTCATTCTGACGGCACCCATTCACTGCAGAGCATCCATTGCTGAGACACTGATGCAATGCTACATTTCTCCAAACCTGATGAAGAAACAAACTCAGGCCTGAGGATGAGTAAACTTGATTTTTAGCAAATGTTATGTTGTTAAGGTTATAACTCCCCCAGTAACTCCTGATGTTTTGTCGTTGCCCTCCCCTTTTGCTGTCTGTGCTGATGTTCGACGTGTCTGTTTCAGGGTCGTGTGATCCTGTCCAATAAGATGGCCAGAACTGTGGCGTTCTTCTACACGCTGATGCTGCACTGCCTCGTCTTCCTGGTGAGTGACTTGAGCCTCAGTTTAAACTGTGCTTCACAGCTCATGTTGACTTGTTCTGATCCGCTGAGCTGTGTGTGTGTGTGTGTGTGTGTGTGTGTGTGATCAGGTGCTGTATAAAGCCGCCTGGAGTGAGAGTATCGGTCGGGACTGTGCGGCATTTTGTGCAAAGAAGTGAGTGTTTTTACTCCGAGTTTCCTGAATGAGATTTGATCGAATGAGCCTCTGGTTTTGAAACGCTACGTGTTCACATACAGCATGTGTGTTTAATGCATGTGGTTTTCTTCGTCTTTCCTCCCACAGATACTCAGACCACCTGCACCGTTTCCATGAGGATGGAGACACGTGGCAGTAGCAGCTTCTATCCACTAGAGAGAGCTGTTCACATCAATCATATTTTTATGACGTGAGAATCGTAGATTGTCATTGAATTACTGCTACTGGGACCAGGTTAGTTAGGGAATATACTGGGTTAAATATTAAATTGACTGGAGGTTTAAAGGTTTGATGCTGTTAATTTACATAACGAGATGTTCTGCAGGTCATGTTTTGAGCATTTTCTTTGTTACTGTCCATTTTTACTTCAATGAAATCAATCAGCTCTAGCATCTGATTCTAATGCTTTACAGAGATAAAAATCAGTGGTAACGGTTTATTCAACCTTGTGCCAGATACTTCGACACAAAGCATCTGACAATATTTGTATCCCTTTATTTTGTATATTTAACTGTTGGGACTTTAGGTATAGTCTCTTGATATTAAATTTAAGCTTTCAGGGAACGTGTGTTTTTCTTTTTTTTTTTTTTATGAGATTAAGGTATTAATAAAACTACCATTCAAAAGTTTGGGGTCGGTAAGATTTTTTTATGTTTTTGAAATAAGTATCTTCTGCTCACCAAGGCTGCATTCATTTGATCAAAAATAGAGTAAAAACTGATATATTATTACAGTTTCAAATAGCGGTTTTCTATGTGAATATCTGTTAAAGTGTAATTTATTTCTGTGATCAAAGCTGTATTTTCAGCATCATTACTCCAGTCTTCAGTGTCACATGATCTTCAGAAATCAATATGCTGATTTGCTGCTCAAGAAACATTTTTGATTATAATCAATTCAAAAGAACAGCATGTATTTAAAATAGAAGTCTTTTGTAACATTACTGTCACTTTTGATCAATTTAGTGCATCCTTGCTAAATAAAAGTATTGTTTTCTTTCCCAACAAAACACACTGACTAAACTTTTCAACATGAACCAGTAATTTTCTTTACTCGTTCAGAGGAACATCTGTGGAGTGGCTTTAAATAAATGAAATGGCGTGGAGTACTGCAACTCTGAAAGCAGCATCTGATGAGCCTAATTATTAATAAATGAAGGGCTTCTGTCGACTGCTGTACAGAGAATATCTCTGGACATACACTGATGATGCTCGAGCAGTGGGCTTCTGCTCTTGGGTTCATCCTTGCATGTTTTCATTGTGGAAGCAGAAGTTAAAGGCTCATTTTGTAATGAATAATTAGTGAGAAACAAAACCGTCTCCTCCATCGGTCTGCAGACATGCAGCGGGGTGTTGTGTGCTTGAGTAATTCATCTAACGGCTCTTAATGAGTCCAAACCCTCAGCAGTTCATTCTGCTGTACATGAGTGTGCAGTGCTTTTCCAGAACCAGCCAGATCTGAACATGAGATCCATTAACACACACACACACACACATGGTCTGGGTTCTTCTCCAGATGCTTTTTGTGCAGTTTTATTGTGTTAGCTGTCTGAGAGAGACATGACAGTAATGGCTTTCTGTGTGTTTCAGAAAGCACTTCTTTAGTGAATTTCATTTGACCCCGCGCGACACACACACACACACACACACACACACACACACACACACACATGGTCTGGGTTCTTCTCCAGATGCTTTTTGTGCAGTTTTATTGTGTTAGCTGTCTGAGAGAGACATGACAGTAATGGCTTTCTGTGTGTTTCAGAAAGCACTTCTTTAGTGAATTTCATTTGACCCCGCGCGACCTCTGCTCCGGCGTTTCCCAGCATGCTGTAGCAGCAGAGCTGCATCATCACATTGGCCTGCCTGATTTCCTGTGACATCCTCTGTTGGAGTTCTCAGCCCATGTGACCAGACTCGGCCAATCAGAGTGTCCGATGCAGTGATGCGAGAGACTTTGATCTTCACTGCAGCTGCAGATTATTTGCGTGTTTAATCTGAGCTGCGTACTTTTTCGTATTTGTATTTGTGTCTCCCTGAACCTGCAGCATGTTTGATGTGAACTCCATAAGACCGAGGAGGCCAGTGATAACGATTACTGTATTCATGTACCGTGGTATATTCACCTGCTACTTCAGAGAATCGGCGTATTAACGAGAACACAAACTCTACTGCTGATGCTGAGCTCAAAAACTACAGAATTATAACTATGACCCTCATGTTTAAACACTGATGCATCTCTCACACAGTCCACACGTTCAGCCCTGTTTAAACTCCGTTTAACGTGCTCGGAATTAATCTGAATTCACTGGCTGCTCTTGTGCTTCATGCTTGCTTATAGACTCACAGTCCACACGTTCAGCCCTGTTTAGAAGGGTTTCTCGTTTTCTGCATGAGTCACAATCTTCTGTTATTTGACATGGCTGTCTGGTTTAGGACATGAATCTCAGAATGCATTTAGCATGAGAACGAGTACAGTAAACGGCTGGACGATGGACAGACACGCAGTGGATAACTTGAGTGTTTTGTGTGCTTTCATTCATCAGCAGTCGACACGCATAGTGCAACTACTTTATTTTTTTGTTTGAGACGCTGAGGACGTTCCCGTGAAACCTGTGTTGTTTGATGAGAATAGCACGTGTCTAGAGTAAAACTCTTCATGAATGTGGATTCTCTCTCCTCCCACAGTCCTTTGCGGCTCAGTGAGCGTTTAGACACTGTGTTGTGTTGTGATGTTCAGCGTCCTTGTGTATAAAAATGCAACAGCAGAGGTGGACCAAGTACACAACTCTTATTACTTGAGTGAAAGGATAGATACTGCTGGTCAAATATGACTCCTTTACAAGTGAAAGTTGTAAGGATAGATTTTTACTTAAGTAAAAGTACAGAAGTACTTGCTTTTAAAAGTACTTAAGTACCAAAAATGTATTTCCTTTTTTATGTCAATGCACTGTTTTATTATTGTTGTATGTAATACTTGCAATGCCTTATGCCTCTGAAGCAACTTACAATATATTACGCCTACTGAATACACTGACAAGCTTGTATATCTTTGGAATGAAGAGCTTTTAGAATGTTAAAAACCTATAGAAATGCAACAAGCGATGGGAAAGCAGTTCACGTAACCCTACAAGACTGATTAATGATACACTGTCTAGAAAAAAAAAAACACCCACTGACTTTCAAAGCTGCTACATAGTAACGACTTTCTAGTTCGAGGACCTTGGTAGAAATGTAGTGGAGTGAAAAGTACGATATTTGTCTTTCAAACGTAGTGAAGTTAAAGTCATAAGTTCCAGAAAAAAGTAAAGTACAGATACTTAAAAAGTGTACTTAAGTACAGTAATCAAGTAAATGAACTTCGTTACTGTCCACCTCTGTGCAACAGGCATTGAAATCCAAGACAGACTGTGATATAATATTCATGTGCGATATCTGTATCTAATTGGTTTGGACAGAAGCCTGCGTGATATTTAGGCCGTTTTCACATCTAGCTCATTTGGGCACTCCCAAGAAGAAGAAAGAAAAAAAAAAGATCTCAGACACCCACAAATGAACCATACTCAGTTTGTTTTGGGGTTTGATTGAGTCCCCTTTTAAGTCCACTTACATTGTGAGCACTGAGGTCACTTGCGGCTGGATCCCTTTTTAGCGTAGTTTAACTGAGCTGAGTTTGGTTCATTTCAAGTGTAGCATATGTGAAAATGCTCTTAAATCATTTAGATTAGGGTGACCGTATTTTAGTTTTCCAAAAAGAGGACAGTGGGCTCCATCGAAGTTACATCGACTACGATGTAATGACAATCTTACTGATATATGAACAGGAGCAATGGCCGTACATAAACTGTAGTATAGTATGCAGTATGCAGTACACACAAGCTAGTATTCCATAGCGCCGTCTCCATGAACATACAGCAGCACTCATGTGATCTGATCCTATAGTGAGTTTTCAGCTTGATGGAGGAGGAGGAGGATGCTCTGAATCACCTTCACTCAATGGTGACCAATGACTTCATGACGTTGCCCATTTAAGGACCAATCGGAAATGGCGCCGCGTCCCCTTTAAGAGCAGCTGTATTGCCTGGAGAATAGATGTGCGCGGGTCATGTATCAGTCTCTATCCTGCTCACTTATGGATCATGCAGCGATGCGATGTGCTGGAGGCCTCCACAAGCCGCCGTCGATGGATCTGGAATAACGGCACCGGCATCAGATGCAGTGACGCATTTATCGGAGGTGAGATGAATCAGGGGCCCGCGTCCTGAATGAACGGCCCTTCGCTCTCATTCATTATGCGCCGCTTTACATACATGTATGCGTTCGCATGTGTTTATTTGTGGTTAAGGCACTCGCATGTGCGGTGGCTGATGATTAAAGCGTAATATGGGTCACAGGCGCTGCTTCAGTGTTGCTCATCTGAATTCTGCACAGTGTTTTGTATCGATGCGCGCGTGTGTCTTGTTGATTCAGGCCTCGTGCACCGGCTTCATTCACAAGAGACTCACAGCATCATGCATCACCCACCCAATAACAGAGAACCTGAAATAATCAAATGATGCATGCATGCAAAAACACACTGCAGCTTACTGTACACACAGGGGCCCTAGACGAGAACATGAAAATGGACCCTACCATAAAACCATTACAAACGAGGACGCTTTAACAGCATCAAGATTTTAGGTTAATGGATATGAATGGAAATGTGTAAATGAGATGCTCTAACTGGTTACTTTTTTCCCCCTCACTTTTTAGTTTTTGCAGTTCACTTAAAACAAAAATGGGTTGACAATAAATTATTACAAATAGGTTACTAATAAATGCCATAGTCTCTCAAATAATATGAGCGCGGAGAAACTGCATGTGTAAGAATGATACAAGAATTATACAAATATTTAGCGGTGAATGAAATTGTCACTTGTGTAAATTCCCCCATAACTGTGTCTAAATGTTCATTCAGAGCAATGAAATCAGTGTAAACAAGCTGGGGCAGAACTACAGTATGTGGAAAAGTTAAAACATGGAAAATTAAAATAATGTGATACAAAATTGCAATGCGTAGAAGCACAACATCTCAATATATTTAAAAAATAAATAAACCTGTCTATATATTGGAGAAAGGTTAGTTTGGTTAATTGCTCATATTTTCTCTCTCTTTTACATTTGTGTGTTTTCAGCAGCTCAGAAAGTAAGCTTTTTCATCTGTTATTTTCTGTGCTGTCAAATATGAGTATAAGCGTGTGTATATGATGTTATATACTGTACATTATATAACATTATCTAGCTACAACTCTCTAATATTGGCACCCTTGGTAAATAGGAGCAAAACTTGTCGTAGTCTTTCATTCAAAAATATTCACAAAAGTCTAACCTTTGATTAAAGTAAAATTATACACAAAAAATGAATGTGGAATAAATAAATACAATTCTTTCAAATAAGTGCGACATGTGGCATGGCATCCCTACAAATTGTAATGAGTAAAAACCTAACATATTCTGTTTATAACGTATGGTTACTTTATTGGTTGGAAACACTTAAATGGCATCCTGTTTCACATATGAGGCGACACACAGGCCAAATTTCTGCTGTCATCCATCACTATGAGAAAGACCTGAGAATACAGTAACAATGTATGACAAAAGATTGTTGAGCTGCACAAATCAGAAAATGGCTATTACTTCAAAATAGTTCAGTTTGAAATGAGCACGGTTGAAACGCTCATTTCTGCTCTCTGGGCAATAATTAATATGCTTCAAATCAAGTGGAGCTGGAAGAAGACGTGTGTCTCGCACAAGGCAAGGAGGAGGATGGTTTGAGTGGCCAAACAGTCTTTAAAGATCACATTTGGAGAAGTGCAGATGCTGGTTGAGTCTTAGGATCAGAGAGTCTCTAAGATCACTAAATAACCACTGATCGTTTGGGAAAGTTGCCTTAAAAAACCTTTGATGTCCTCAAGCAGCAAACTCATGTCAGGAAGCTTCAACTGGGCTGTGGCCGGATCTTCCAGCAGGACAATGATCCAAAGCACACCTCAAAATCAGCAACGAAATAGTTCCCGGACCACAGAATTAAGGTTTTGCCATGGACAAAAAAGTCCACACTTCGAATCTGAATGCTCTGGAGAGATTCTGTATGAAAGAATGGTCTCCGCTCCCTTGCCATATGTTTATTAATAACCTCATTACACATTATAGAAGAAGACTCAGAGCTGTTATCTTGGCAAAGGGAGGCTACACAAAGTATTAAATGCAGGGGTACCAATTTTTTGTTTTTTTTTTACTTTAATTAAGGTTAGATTTTTGCGAATATTTTGAACGAAAGACCAAGAAGATAAACACCAAAGACATTTTCCATGGTCTGTTTTGCTCATTTTCCAAGGGTGCCAATATTTGTGGAGGCCACTGTACTGTTTCAGTATAATGCACTGATCTCGTGTTATACACTTGTCTTAATGTCACGTGTTCAGTGAATGGCTCTTATTTTCAGACAGATGCTGGTCTGTGCGTCTCTGCACTCGGTGTCATTCTCTACATTATGATTGGAAAAGAAGTCTAGTGTCCAGAGAGAAGAGACTGCTGTGTGTCTGTGTCAGAAAAGTGATTAATTGTGCAATATTTTTTTTTATTTATTTTATTTTACAGTAATCTTATTGTGTACTCTTCAGTCTGACTGTCAGTCGTTTTAGGGTACTTGTGTCCTCCTCCTGACGGTGCCGTGGCAGAGCGGTTTGTGGTCTGCTTTGGTTAACATGGTTTGGTTAATCTTGCAGTAGCTTCAGTCTGCTGACATTTTGTGTTCTGCTTCTCCTGTTTATTTTCCTGTTACATTTACAAAACATATGTTGAGTAAGTGTTGCATGCACATCATGTGGTAATGGGTACTTCATATATTGTTTAAAAAAAGTGTATTTCCTTTAAACATCCATATGCCAGCATCCAAGATGATAAAATGTGTTTTTGATCAGTGCAGAAATACAGTGCAGCTATGGCATTCAATAAATTTTAAATGCAATGGGTCTTATGTTCATATTATGCTTTGGCTTTGTTCACTGACTTGGTGAATGTAATGAAATGTGATTATCTTGCTGTGGTGAATGATGATCGTTTTTAATGTTTATTGTAAAATGTAATTTTGTATTTCAAAACCACAACCAATTGGCTTGCATGGAAATCCCCGTCATGCATATAATAGAGATGCTTGTGTGTGTTTGTTATGGCTTTTTTCATTAACTAACATGGTCACATTTGGTTGCACAATAATGATTAAATGTTCTTTAAAACACAAACATAATCTATTTTAAACAAATTCTGACATCTGCTGTAGTGTTTGTTATAGTGCTTAACTAGTAGGTGGCGATGTTCCCAGACTGCTCCGATACTCTCAGAGCAGGATTTCATTGCAGTGCACCAAATTATTGCCATTTCTCTAAAACAGTTTTGAAAATTGATAACTTTTCTGAAATTTGGGCAGAAAATCAGCTGAGTGAAAGTTTGTGAAGATTGGACTAATTTTGTAGGATGGGAGTTGAAAAAAAAAACTAGTGTAAGAACTCTCTTTGTATGTAAAAGAGCAGTATGGAAATTTAGCAAAACTTTCTGAATTGTAAGTTTTGAGCAACATGTAGTCAGTATAAAGCAGTATGAGGCAAATGAGGAATATTAATTTTCAAACATGCCATTTGATTGGACTGACCAAATTAAATACTTGAAGGGGGTGATTTTCCCCCTACAGTTGTGTTTTTTGGAAGTTGCTCTCAAAATCGACTGACTTGGCTGAGACATTTGTGAGGCCATGCCAGTTTAAATGACACTTTGGCCACATTTACACTGCAGGTCTTGATGCCCAATTCCGATTTGTTGACTATATCCGATTTTTCTGACAACCAGCTTATATTTTCTTCTAAAAGTGACCCATATCCAATATCTGCATTTACACTATAAACTTGGCAAAACAACCCAGAGTAGACGTACTGACAGGTTGCCAGGTCTGCTAAACAAATCTAGCCCAATTGCGTTTTTTGCGGCTTTCCCCTCTGGCAAGGGTCCCCCTCCATTAAAAAGGGGGGGGGGTGTTAGCTTTAATCCATGGACTAAAAAACAACCCGCGGCAACGGTGTAAAAGTAGCCCAATTCTGCAGGTAAACCGCGGACTTGGCAACACTGCGTACTGACTCACAAAAGTGTCCACCTGAGTTGACGTCATTCGTCACCGCTATTTAAATTATGTACAATTCGCATTGACGGGAATATCCGACGCAAATACGCATATCTGAGTCATATCAGATTTATTTCCAAATATGAACATAAATGCATGAGGCCTGAAACCATTCTGAGAATATCGGAATCCACGCACTTTTTTTTCCTGTTTATATGTCCGTGGGTCATATCCTGTCAATCTGTGCCACATGGGAGGAAGATATAGGGTCACATGAACCATTTTGCCTCACCCTTTGTGATTTTGCTTACTGACCTGTCTCTCTCTTTGTTTCTCTCTCTCTCTGTCTGTGTGACAGTGGTTTGCCAGGGCATTGGCATGGCCTAGTAATGAATGGCGACGGGGCTCCCAGCAGCCCGGAGCACTCCTCCTGCACACTGCCTGATTGGAAGGAGTTCTGTGAGCTTCACGCTCGAGCTTCTGCCGCCGATTTTGCCTACAAGTTCCGGCGATTCATCAGCGAGAACCCATGCTACGACTCGCCTGGTGCTGATGCCAGCTTCTCGCAACACTTTGCTCAACACTTCTTGACCTGCTTCTCTGCCGCCCTCGACCAGGTTCAAGGTCCCGGCTCTCCGGGAGACTCCTCCGCTCCGAAGTACAGCATCGTACCCTTTGTGGGCATACAGAGCTGCACGCTGCCCTTCAGCCACGACCTCTACCATCGGCGCAAAGACGTGGGGGCCTCGAGCGAATCGCTGGATAGCATGGACAGCGGAGGGGGCGGAGCCAGCGGACAGGAACAGCAGACCCCCACCCGTAAGAAGGCAACCGTGAGCCAGTCCAGGAGTTCGGAGGATGTGTCATTGGGGCGACGTAAGGCTCGCTTCAAGAAGGGTTTTTCCCTCCGAAACATGAGTCTGAGCGTGGTGGATGGGGTGAAGGAGATCTGGCACCGCAGGGCCTCTCCAGAACCAGACCCCTCGGGGAGCTCCAGGAGGACCAATGGAGCCGAGTCCGTGGGGTCCGAACACTGGAGCCAGAAGCTACGGCTACCGCGGGGCTCTCAGGGCCATAAGGCGGAGCTGTTGGAGATCCAGAGGGAGGGTGCACTCAGATACATGGTGGCCGATGACACTAAATGTATGGGGGCGGCACAGTGGCAGAAATGCAGGTTGCTGTTGAGGAAGACCGCCACGCAAGTGGACGCAGGAGAGAAGTTCCAGCTTGAATTCTACGTTCCACCAAAGGTAGAACAGCACTCTGATAAAACTCTTGTTATTATAAGAGTTTGTGGGTTAGGGGAAGAAAAACGGATTATTCTTAAATAGATGCCTTTCAGCCCTGCTCCTGGAGACCCACTGTCCTGTAGTTAGGCTCCAACCTTAATCATGCACACCTGAACCAGCTAATCAAGGGCTGTATCCGAAATCGCCACCTTTATACCCTCATTCACTATTCCCTACATTAGGCCACCAATACAGTTCACTTGAAGGAGTGAATGAAAACAAATCTGAACACTGAGTGCACCGGAATGACTGCCGCTTTTGCATAGTTTGTGCTTGCTGTTTAATAATTATTTGAAACTGGCAAACTGGCAGCTCCAGGAGTAGGGTTAAAGGATTTATCTTGAACTCTTTCATGGAAATGTATAAACCCTAGTTCAACAATTTAATAATCAATTTACAATGAACCTGTGTTGTATTACGTGGTGGACGAGCGTTTTGTAAAATGAATGGATGGATGATTCAGCTGCAGGCGCCTTCTTCTGGCGAGACGCGGGAATTCATTTGGCGTGCAACTCTCACAGTGCACTATGGGTATTCTCTAGCCGTTAAGCGTGCACTGGTTGTACACTCATTGTACACTCATGGGATTGAATAAGTGCACTTGAGAACGTCCACTAAGGTTTCGGACACCACTACAAATGGCTGTTCACTCAAAAAGTGCCCTATTTAAGGGTAGAGGGGGTGATTTTGGATACAGCCAAGGTGTTCAGGATGACTTGAAAATGGCAGGCAGGTGTGTTGGAGAAGGTTGGAACTAAACTTAGGCCTGGGCCACACTAGACGGTTTTCAAATCTTAACCAATTTTAAAACTTTGGGAGACAACAGACATTATGACCGTTTTAACTGATTTTTAGCATTTTAGTCCTCTGAACGAACACACTAGAGGATTCGACCGGACCACGAGACCATACACTTGTTGATTGTAGGAATGATTTCACAGTGACACGAGATCTCACGGAGACTCGCGAGATCAAACATAACTTGAAAAGAAAAAAAAATGAAGGACAATCGATGTTGTCAGCTGGTTTTCCTGGAGCACATTCTGTTTCACAGTGAAAAACAGAGTATACAAAAAAATAATAAGGGTGATCTTTCTCAATACTCCACTTTCGTGGCATGTTTGTGGCTCCCACTTTCAGATATAGAAGCACGCAACATCCGGTAGTTGACGCTTGCTCGCTCTCATCAAACATGTTTGATATTTACGATTTGGGATTGTGGGAGCTCCGACGTGATCAGGAGCAGTAAAATAATCGTAATGACACCACACAATAAAGTCAGTTGCAACAAGCCTAAAATCTGGGCCACACCCCCCTAACCAATTTTAAAACTTTGGGAGACAACAGACATTATGACCGTTTTAACTGATTTTTAGCATTTTAGTCCTCTGAACGAACACACTAGAGGATTCGACCGGACCACGAGACCATACACTTGTTGATTGTAGGAATGATTTCACAGTGACACGAGATCTCACGGAGACTCGCGAGATCAAACATAACTTGAAAAGAAAAAAAAATGAAGGACAATCGACATTGTCAGCTGGTTTTCCTGGAGCACATTCTGTTTCACAGTGAAAAACAGAGTATACAAAAAAATAATAAGGGTGATCTTTCTCAATACTCCACTTTCGTGGCATGTTTGTGGCTCCCACTTTCAGATATAGAAGCACGCAACATCCGGTAGTTGACGCTTGCTCGCTCTCATCAAACATGTTTGATATTTACGATTTGGGATTGTGGGAGCTCCGACGTGATCAGGAGCAGTAAAATAATCGTAATGACACCACACAATAAAGTCAGTTGCAACAAGCCTAAAATCTGGGCCACACCCCCCAGATTGCTTGGGGGTGCAAATCGGGCTCAAAATCAGGCTTAAAATCATCAAGTGTGTGGCCAGCCTTTGCAAGACAGTGGGTCTCCAGGAGCAGGGTTGAAGACCTGTTATATAGGATAGATCTTAATCTATTATCTGCATTGGCAAAGTGGACATCTTCATCTTTTTTAAAATATTGGTTATTTTTGTGTTAGTCTCCCTCTGGATTTAAACTCTTCTATATGTAAAGTTAGTGTCATAAGAGTCAAATTAATTTATTTGTTATTTGCAATGGGTACACTGGTCAATGAAGTGCTTGTGACAAGGCTCAGATTCAGACAATGACAGTACAAGCATGTATAAGACTTAGACATGAACAAACACACATGGTTTAGATCAGGGGTCTCTAACCCTGCTCCTGGAGAGCTACTGTCCTGCAGATCTCAGCTCCGACCCCAATCAAACACACATGAACCAGCATTCAGGGCAGAGATTGTCTTACTATTGGGAGATGAGAGGGTCTGTATTACTTAATTTGGAGAAAGCGTAACGGTCAACTTGGATCACGTGTGCCTTAATAACCAATCACATTATAGCCTTGATATCACGGAATTTCAGTCAGAGTTGTGCGACACTCAATCGCCGTTTACGGATGCCATAGGAATGAATGAGAAGTGCCACAAGCTGAATCCCACCTGCCGCAAAAAGTCAGTGACTTCTCTTATAAAACGTCATTTTTTTCAGTGTAAACTCTAAAAATAGTTTAATAGTTTATTCAGCGTAGTAAAGCCTCTCCTCCATTGACATCCATTCAAACAAAACGGCCTCTGGTCTCCTTCCCTGCATACCGCGGAAGCGTTAGCATTAGCTGTTACACTTTTTTGGCTAAAGGGTCGCAGGCTTGCCTTCTAGTGGCTTTGTTCAGGGTTGCTTGATAATTACCAGCAGGTGTGTTGGTGCTGAAGTCTGCAGGACGGTAGCTCTCCAGGAGCAAGGTTGAAGACCGCTGGTCTATATGAAGCTGTTTATAACAGGTGAAAAAGAACAGTGGTGAGCAATGATCTAGAGTTAGTAAAAGTAACATGCTAAGAACAATAAATACAAGTGAAATAAATACAAGCAGATGGAGAGCAGGGCGAGTGCAGTCCTTAATGATATAACTGCGTGTCTTACTCCAGGGTGTCCGCGGTGTCTTAAAAAGTATTAAAAGTTGATAAATCAATTTAGAGAAAATGAAGGCCCTTAAAAAGTATTAAAAAGTCTTAAATGCCATTTTCCAAAGTATTAAATTTTGAATCATCTTTTCATTATGTATATTTGTCGAATAGTGGGGTTCTGTGTAGTTTATTTATGGAATCCCGCAAGATTTGACGTCATCTGTTACGGCGCTCACTGACTGACTGCGCTGCTGCGTGATAGCGCGGGGCTTGTTGATCCCGCTCTCGCTGAATTTCTGACCATTACCGCCCGCTCCCATCTGCTTCTGCGATTTTGTATATTGTGTATAATTTTAATATATATATATAATAATATTGTATATAATTTTTCACGCATCAGGGAGCCACTATCAATATGTGGGGTATTTAAATCCCCTTTGAATGAGCACTCGCAGTCGTAGTTCACTTTCGATTTCGCGATCGCATGTGCACTGTGCAAAGGGAGCACACCTTACAATATAAGATATTTGTCAATGATTTTAAACTGCTGATTTTAAACTGTTGCCATGGGTTGATTTTCCCCAGTGGGTTAAAGGTTTTAAATATTACATAAATTACATTTGACTGAAATGCTTTTACTCAAACATTTTGCATTCTACCTGTAATAAAACAGGTGTGAAGGAGGGCCACTAGTAGGAAGCCTTTGAGCTGTGTTTATGATCAATGTGCATAACATTGACTGTAAAATATGTATTTTAGGGATGGAAATGACATATTTTGATGTTCGGGACATGGTCATTGCGCTACTTTGGGCTGTTTTTTACTGGCATGGGATGCAGAATTAAAATAATGTAATAGTTGTGATCATTATTTTACCTTCCATGATCATTCAGACTTGATCAGGTGCAGTACTGACACTCTTTGTCAAGTCTGTATCAAATCAGGCACTCTGTGTAAGTTAAAGTGTCGCCGATGTAACCGGTTAAAACTTGGAGTGGCGATGAGGTCTTAAAATGTATGGAAAGAGTCTTAAAAAAGGTATTAAATTTAACTCCATGATTGCTGTATATGCCCTGTACTCAAGCAGCATGCTCGGTAAATGTGCTGTAAGGCCAGTGATGAGCTCAGCTATTCTCACCACTTCCTGAAGAGCTTTGCAGCTGGAAGAAGAGTTGCTGCCGCGTCATACAGCAATACATCCCGTGATGCAGTGGCTCTCGTAAGGGAGACTTCCCTAATGCTCAAAACTTGTTCACTTTCTGCATTCAAGAACCACCAAGGTTTGTGTGTGCGGCTTCTTCTTCTCCTTTATGAATGCCACTCACAAACGTTCTCACGTCTGAGACAGATTCAAATGAGAGAGGACAAGATTTTGACTTAAATTATGGTTTGTTTGTCACGTAAAGCAATCAAATTAATTCAGAAGGCTCTGAATAATGCACAAGAATCATATGAACTAGTTTAATGGTTCTTTTATCTTCTTTTTGGAGCTTGACCATCACACTAGCTTGCAGAGGCACGAGTAAATGTCAAGATTTTTTTTAACCCCTTTGCAAACCTGTAAAATTTGACTAAAACCCAAAGTAAATTGCATGCTGTTCTTGAAGCATTGGAGTATATGCATGGTTTTGGTCTCTTTTGAAAGGTGACACTCTGAGGTTTGTTCCTAAACAGAGCTGTAAGTCTTACTGGTATTGCGTAATAGATCTTTGAACACACTGAAAAAGGAAAAAAAACATTCCGTCTGCATTTGTTTTGTAAACAGATGACTATAGCTGGGAGCTTTTAGCTGGAAAACACAATGGGATCACAGCATGAAGCCTTGCTGGCGGTCTGACAAAGACACTGATTGTACCTTAAGAAACCTTCCTGCAAAGCTACCTGAGAAACTATGCACAAGTGCGTCTAGGGCAAAAGCTGTTTTAAACACAAAGGGTGCTCACACCAAATGTTGATTTTAATTTAGTTAATAGAAGTTAATTGATAAATTAAATCTATTTTTGAAACATCCTCATTTTAGTGCCTAAAACGTCTCACAGTACTGTAGCCTTACAGGAAGGTTTCTTCAGGTGTCTTGGAGACGTTGCCACAGTTCTTCTGGATTGAGTCTGTCTCAGTTAGTTCTGTTTCTTCATGTAATCTCAGACGGACTGCATGATGCTGAGATCAGATCTCTGCGTGCAGCACTGGCTGCTGTCAGACTCCTTGTGCATACAAAGATCTCACTGGATTATTACAATTAATTTCAAAATGAATGTTTGGAAATATAAACTGATATTTCCTACTGACACACTACAGCAAACGATAGAAATAATGGACTTAAAACCATTTTTAGCTGCTGAAAATACTAGTGCTCTAATGATTTTGGCCACCATTGTATATATTTTTAAAAGCTGAAAAAAATTGTTTTTTGCGAAGCTGATCTCAGAGCAATTTTAGCATCGCACACAAAAACGGAGAACCACTGGGTTTAGGTTTAGGTTTAGGGATTGGTTAGTTTTTAGGCTACTCTCATGTAACCAGTCCTCTGACTAAAAGACAAGGCTGTGAACTGCACTTTGCCAGAAGAGGCCGTCTGATTGAACAGCCACATTTGTTTGGTGTGTGTTTAGGTGTGGATTTTTCTGATATGCAGCAGTTTTTCCTTAAAAGCGCTGATGGACTGATAAAGCCTTCTGTGCCCTCACTGACAAAAGTAATGTTAGAGAAAGTGCTTTTCCAGTTTTGTGTGAAGTATGCATGAAGCGGTCAGCGAACAAACGGGACTAAATGTAAATTGCGATATTTGTCTTTTGGTGTTTGAGTCCACTTGAGGACAACCGTTGTGGTTGATGAATAATCATTTGAGTACATTTTTTCTAACGTTGAGTTAATCTAGTGTAGCTATCACACATGAGGTGATTTCATGAAGGAACAGATGAACCGGACATATGTTAGTAGTAATGAAAAATGAGTCAGATCCAGCCTCTTAAAATCCTATTCCACATTTTGGTTTTGCTTCAGAAAGGTTTAGAGAGATTTTTGGGAAGCCGATCTCAGAGCAATTTTAGTCCCTCAAGACAGTACTAATGACTTCCTTTTCCTGAACAAGCTAAAGACAGGGTAAAAATATCCCTGCTAACTACAACATTAACAGCCGAGCTATGCTCCTGTCTGTCTTCATGTATCCTCACAGTGCTCAGAAACGAATAAAGCACATTATAATGACCGTAAGTGAGATCCCCTGGACAAATAATGCAGGTGAAAGCACATGAGAGACTTCAGTCATCAGTTTCACTCTGAGGTTTTCAGAACAACATCCCCTTTCCGTATAAACAAGACCATGATGAAACCAGAAGTTAGGCAGATGGAAAGACTAGGATTTTTAGAAATTATGTATCTAAATGTCAACAGTAAGAATGTCCCGGGGCCCAGGAGAGAGTTATGGCTGTGTTCTGTTGATCATGTACATGTGTTTTTATGCCTTGCAATAATATTTATTATGTAAATTGTGCTGATTTCAATATATCACTGTGAGAAAGTTGTCTAGCTGGCTATCATAGATTAAATTTAGTCTTGGTGCATCTTTTTTTTTTTTTTAATAAGTGTGAATTTGTATTTGTC